ATACATACCATCACCACCACCTCTGCTGGAAAACTTCCTGTGTCATCTGACACCCTACACTCACCAATGAGGTGATCCTCCCCATTGTTCCCATAAGGCACTTCATCCTACATTTCTGTGTTTAGTTCTCTGCATGTGATCTTCACCATGGAAGAGGGTGAAGTAACTCTTTGAAATTCAGAATCATGTTTTATTTATCTTTGTATTCTAAATGCCTATCATGGGGCCAAGAGTTTAATGGTGCTCGGACTTTGTTGAATAAATGGAGAAATAAAGCTTTCATATCCCAGATAATTCCATTTTCCAAAAGTATGCTACAGTATGGAATCTCATTTTAATGTAAGTGTAAAAATTTCAACCTTTGATTTCTTTATTTTTAGGAATTGCAAGCATGTACATTTTTAGTTGACACATAATATCAAAGGATATTAAGCATTTTAAGTGGGACTCTTAATAATACTGTATTGGCCTCTAGTTGCAAATAAGCTAATCTTTTCTAATTTGAAGTATTATCAGAATGAAGGATGAAGGCAGTGGAAGTAAACTATCTTTTTTTTTTTTTTAATGGAGTCTTGCTCTGTCACCCAGACTGGAGTGCAATGGCACAATGAGCTTGGCTCACTGCAACCTCCACCTCCCGGGTTCAAGCAATTCTCCTGCCTCAGCCACCTGAGTAGCTGAGATTACAGGAGCCTGCCACCACACCTGGCTAATTTTGTATTTTTAGTAGAGACAGGGTTTCACCATGTTGGCCAGGCCAGTCTTGAACTCTTGACCTCAGGCGATCCACCCTCCTCGGCCTCCCAAAGTGCTGGGATTACAGGTGTGAGCCACCACAACTGGCCAGTAAACCATCTTATCTTGAGTACCCACTACTTGCTAGGAGTTATAATCTCTACTTTTCAGGTAAAGAAATACAGTTACATAGAGGTCAAATAACTTGAATATAGCAGAGTCAGGATTAGAATTCAGATCCATCTGAATCAAAATCTATGTCCCTCTGACTGCACCAAGTTGCCTCATGCAAGAATACCATCATATTACATTTAGATTTTATACAACTCATCTAAGAATGCATGAAGAATTTTTAAATGTTTAATACGTGAGAGATTCACAACTTTGCTTATAAAGTATTATATTGAAGTGAATTTCATTATTTTAAATAGCTTGTGTTTGATTTCTTTAGAGAAAAGAAACAAATAATCAAAATAAAGATATAAAAATCCTTGGCTCTGAGCATTGCTCACCCCTTTAAAGGCTACACACCATGGCCTCTGGCTCACAGAAAGCCCAAATGAATTCTATTTTCCCTTCTCCCTCATCCAGCAGAGCACAGCTTTGCAATCCTCCTTCCATTATTACCCCTTATTTCTTTTACCAACCCCATCTCATTTTAAAATATCATTTTTATGAAGGGTAATGTTACATGGTAGAAAACTGTAAAAAATTAATGGATAGAGTTGGTATGAGGAAAATGCATTATTTCAATAGTTTTATTACTTTTGCCCATTATGTATTTACAAGTCTTGTTGTTTATACGGGTATGTTTTATAGATGGCTCTATTCAAAACATATTACTTTAACACTTTGATCATTGAGAAATTTAAATCAACAGTCGGCTTGCTTTTCCAGAGGAAGAACTCTTTTGAAATATTTACCTAGATTGTTGTTAATATTCTTATTCTTTTGTAAAAAAAAAATTATTAGAACCTCTCACAGAGGGTCATATAAAAATTATCTTAAGGTTGAACAAATGTCATTAGCCCATTCATTTAGCTCCTGAAAGCTCAACAACAAATATCTATTAGAACATCTATTGTTTTCAAATTCCTGGGCTCAAGAGATCCCCCCGCCTTGGCCTCCCAACATGCTGCGATTACAGTTATGAGCCACCGTGCCCAGCCACATCTATTGTTCTCAGTATTTTATTTTGTTTGTCACTGACTCAAGTACCTAGAACAGTGCCTGGTGCTGGTATGTGCTTTCAAAATACATGTCCAGTGAGAAAATGCTGTCTAGTAATCTGACCTGTTATCTAGTGATATCTTTTTCTGTGTTCACATTTTTCATTCCATCACTTAGACAATCAGTTAAACTCTGACTAAATGAAGCAAAAGACCTGGAAGGATATGGAGCGGCTCAGAGAACCCAAAATCTGGATACTCAGATCATGACAGAACAAAGATGAGAACCAGATAGCTTCAGAGCTCCAGGTAGCAGGAATGAATAAATAGCCTCTTCAAGGTTCTGCTCACAGGAAGAATCTGTTCCAAGCATATTCCCACTTTTGTGTCTCACCACTCAGAATTCAGCTTCCCAGAAGGGAAAGCCTGAGTGGCTGAGCTTGAGCTATTCCCCCTGCTTAAGACTGGAAGGTGGATAGGGATTGTACTTGGCAAAGCACCACATAAACCGTGTAGACTGAGACCAAGCAGGGATGCCTCCTCGAGAAAATCCAGGTATTCCTCCTGAATGACAAACGAAATTGACAAATATCCACCAAGTCTCTGACAGCATTTGGATGGATTCGAATTGCATCTTCTAACAAAGTGATGAAATTCTTATGCGTTAATTTTGCATGCTGAGGTCTCAAATTTCATTTTCTATATAAAATAGCTAGCAGTTTTATACAATATTATCTAATTGCATGCTTCCTCTCCCATTCTATTTCCCATGCCCACTCAGTCCAAAGAAATAGAAAACGGAATAATAAATTAAATACAAAGGGTGAGTTAATAGTAAGGGAGCCTGAAGAAGTTGATTTTGGATGAGTAAAACCTTAAAATCATTATATTGTAAGCCTAAGGTATAAAATTATCAACTATACTAATACTAATTAATAAACAATGATGTTTATGAGAGTCTTTTTTAAATGGGTGGGTCTCCGTAAAGAAAATCTATATGACGGATCTTATGCTCAGGTAAACACAAAAATGGGCAAATTGTTTGAAGAACCCATAAAATGAGATTTAAGGCAAACTGAGAAAAACACTTCAGTGGGAGGGATGAAGGAAGAAAGCAGTTGGTTCCTTCTCCTTCATGGTCCAAAATGTTGCTCTTGATACTTCCTCTAACAAGCTATTCTCTCTCTCTTTCACCAGCCAATTCAAATGTCACCTACTCTTAAGACATTTCCTTTAATATATTCCTCATTTCAGTCAGCCAAGCCTTCTGTCCTATTCCTATAGTATTTTCTAAATGCAAGTATTGCAGCTTTATTTCATTGGCCTTTTCTCTTAATCTGCCATATTAGTACATTATATTTATTGAGGATTTATTGTGTGCTAGACATATAAGTGTTTTATCACACTTAGAAGTATTATAATAAGTAGGCCAGGCACAGTGACTCATGCCTGTAATACCAGCACTTGGGGAGGCCAAGGTGGGAGGATCACTTGAGGTCAGGAGTTCAAGACCAGCCTGGTCAACAAGGTGAAAACCCGTCTCTACTAAAAATACAAAAACTATTAGCTGGGCATGGTGCTGGGCGCCTGTAATCCCAGCTACTCAGCAGGCTGAGGCGGGAGAATTGCTTGAGTCCAGGAGGCAGAGGTTGCAGTGAGCCGAGGTTGCTCCCCTGCACTCCAGCTGGGGTAACAGAGCAAGACTCCATCTCAAAAAAAAGAAAAAAAGAAGTATTATAAGTAAAACTATGTTTTATATCTGTATTTATAAATATCATAAATATTTTGTATTTTATAGCATTAATTTTAAGTATTATATTATCACCCCAACAACCCTTTGTAGTTGGTCTTCTGGTTGTCTTTATTTTATAGACCAGAGAGATTAAGTGCAATCATGAGTCATTTAATGATTGGGAAACATTCTGAGACATGCATTGTTATGTGATTTTGTTGTCATTGTGTGAACATCAAAAAGTATAGTTATACAAACCTAGATGGCATAGCCTACAATACACCTAGGCTACATGATATGGCTTACTGCATCTAGGCTACAAATCTATACAGGCTAATATTTGTACATATTTGTGCAGATTTGTACACAAACCTGTACAAATATTTCTGTACTGAATGACGTAACCTATGGTCACACCATGGTATTTGTGTATCTAAACATATCTAAACATATAAAAGGTATGGTAAAAATATGGTACCATTATAACCTAAAGGGACCACTGTCTTTTTTTTTTCTTTTTGTTTTGTTTGACTTTGTTTTGTTTTTGAGACGGAGTCTCACTCTTGTCACCTGGGCCGGAGTGCAGTGGTGTGATCTTGGCTCACTGCAACCTCTGCCTCCCAGGTTTAAGTGATTCTCCTGCCTCAGCCTCCCAAGCAGGGGAGATTACAGGTGCCTGCCACCACACCCAGGTAATGTTTTTTGTATTTTCAGTAGAGCCCCGGGGTTTCACCATGTTGGCCAGGCTGGTCTCCAACTCCCGACCTCAGATGATCCGCATATAATCTTCAACTGCCAGGTGCAGTGGCTCACACCTGTAATCTCAGCACTTTAGGAGGCCAGGGCCAGAGGATCACTACAGCCTAAGAGTTCAAGACTCATCTAGGCAACATAGGGAGACCTTGTCTCTACAAAAAATAAAAATAAAAAAGTTAGCCATGTGTGGTGATGCATATTTGTGGTCCCAGCTATTCGAGGGGCTGAGGTGGGAGAACCACTTGAGCCTGGGAGGTTGAGGCTGCAGAGAGCCGTGATGCACTCCAGCCTAGGAGTCAGAGTGAGACCTTGTCTGGAAAATAAAAACAGAAAGATGATCCTCAGTGTTAATAGTTCCCAACCTGCTGATGTCTTTAACTCAGTCAGCCTCCTCTTTACCCTCCTGTTTAATCACAGAGCCACAGCAAGCACATTACCTAGGCAGAAAATATTAATGTAGATGCAAGCCTCAGGAGAACATTTTCCTGGGTTTCCACTGTGATCTCATGAGTTCCAAACTTATGGCCAGCCCTACTCAGCTTGTTGGATTATCTTGAAATCCCAAGACTCCCCCATTTCTTTCACAGAAAAATGCAGTAAAATACTATTTTATTTTATTTTTTAATCTACATTTTATTATTTCAACCAAAATAATATTTTAACAGAAGTGGTATAATAGTCAGTACAATCTCTACCAGTCATTAGCCATGTTCTTGGTTGAATTTCTAAAACTGAAACTGGACTGTAAGTGCCTTGAGGGCAGGACCCAAGAACCATTTTTCTTTGTCTTTGTGTTCCTTCTGAGCCTAGAACAAGGGCACATGATATTTTAAGGAGCCTATCGGATAAAGCCATTTGAGCTACATTTTGATGCAAATGAAATATCAAACAGTTTGGGGGCTTTTTATAAAAACTATTAAGTCACAAGTGCAACGGTCAACATCAACTCTACTGTATCTGGTAATCACAGATGTACCACCTCAGGCTCCTTAGAAAGGGTCATCAGTCAGACTGGGTGTTGTGGCTCATGCCTGTAATTCCAGCACTTTGGGAGGCCGAGGCAGGTGGATCACTTGAGGTCACGAGTTTGAGACCAGCCTAGCCAACATGGTGAAACCTCATCTCTACTAAAAATACAAAAAAAAAAAAAAAGAAAAAAAGCTGGGCATGATGGTGGGCACCTGTAATCCCAGCTACTCAGGAGGCTGAGGCGGGAGAATCGCTTGAGCCTGCGAGGCAGAAGTTGCAGTTAGCTAAGATCGCACCACTGCACTATAGCGTGGACAACAGAGCTGGGACTCTGTCTCAAAAAAAAAAAAAAAAGAAAGAAAGAAAGGGCCATGAGTCATCAGGAGACACGTGCTTGCTCATTCTCTGATGCTTCACTGGTATCTTGAAAAGCGTGCATCCCAGATTCACAAATGTCATCCTTAAAGTTAAAATGCCCCTTATGCTTGGCATATCATAATCCCCAGGGAGAAAGGGGACCCACTTTGAAAAGCATATAGATCATTACAGAATTAAAAATAAAAATAAAAAATGTTTTTCTGAATGCAAACTACAAAAATTCAAGCTCGATTTTATTTTTTTGGTTACAACAGATGATTCTACAAATTGTCAGGGATAGGGAGAAAGCTTGAGATTTTTGTTTCCCCAAAGAAAGTTGGATTCAAAAGTAGTTGAGAAATCCTGATATAGAAGATGGGTATCTGCTTTCTATAGACTTTGGAGTTATTTAGCCTTCCTCAATTGGTTTGTAATTGAGTAGCATGCCCCATAGAAGTTAAATTCTAAATGTACTATTGAATTGACCCTTGAAAATCCCTTAAACCAGCAGTAGCATATAGGATGTGCGGACATGTGCATCATGGAGAAGAGTACTGTGTTGTATACAACTCAGAACCACCACCCATGCAGCAAGATGCTCTCATCACCAGTAGGGAAGGATGGGCAATGTTGCTAAGAGTAGCTGATGGTATAGAAGATCCAAACCCTCATCCAATACTTCTCACTCCCAGGAAGAGAGCAGAAATTTATGCAATAAAATGGAGAGTAGAATTATTAACTACCCTAGTTAATTTTTTACATATACATATAGATGTATATGTGTGTATATTTGCCAAGGGCAAATATGTGAATTTTCTGAAGTTAAGCTCAGGATGCAATTCCAGTGTATATGCAGGAGGGGAAGGGGTTAGAAGGATAGTTGAACCCAATTATGATTCCTTGTCTCACTTTCTATCAACATTTAAGATCTTCAATTAAATTTATATCTCCTCTGTCAGTTGTATAAATATAAAGCCCCTTTACAATGGAGGTGGTCAAGAGAACTAATTGTCCTATAAAGATATTGTCCTTCTCAATAGACTTTATGAAATCATTGTATTTTTCCAATGCAAGCTTATTTTCCAATACACCCACATAAAATCCAATCAATATGGATCCTATTAAAACTGAAAACTATCCAAAAAATTATCCAAAATCAAGATAAGTGTTAGGGACAGACCAAGGCTCAAAAATGCAGCTAAGATCAGGACTCTCCACTGTACACATTACTCGTGATTTTTGTTTTTAAGGAGCAACTGTATATTTCGAGTGGGTCAGCCACATGTCAGTGTCACTTAGTATGTGCTCAATAAATACTTGTCAAATAAAGGTTTGACAGATCAGATCTCTTCAAGAATGCTTTAAACTTGACTGCAAATTTAATGCAAGAGTCCATTTGCAATCTAGATGCTATTGTTTTAAGAACTTCAATGATATTTTTTATCTCCATAACTTACCAATATTGAAAAAAAGTATCTCAAATAAGAAGTTTTAATTTTAGCCTTCTGCAAATTGAGCAAGAAATACTATTGCTCATTGCACTATAATACATCAAAAAATAGAGTTATTTGACATGACATATCCTCTTTCACCATGATGACCTCCCACCTTTACTGTGGTACTGTCATTTTTAGGTGACACCTGCTTTGCTTGCAACCAACAGCTCTGTGTGTGCCATGCTGCAGCAGATGGCTTGAGGCATGATGTGTTAATGGCAGTGATTACTTTATGAATAGTGACAGCTGATCAGAGACATAATAAAACAATAGTGGCTGCCATCCTGGAAAAGGTGCTAAATAGGGGTGACATGCTTAGTGAGGACTATTCCTCTCTCTTGAAACTCATTATCAATTCCAAAGGGACACAGGGGCCAGCCAGGCAATGGCAGGCTCAGACACATTAGAGAGAACCGAACCAGCACAAAGATTTCCCTCTGAGTTAATTGGAGTTGGGGAGGGTGTACAGCTTTTAATGTGCAAGCCATTTGGGTAAATGTGAATGTGTCTTCCCAATTTCACTCCTCATACACTATCTTCTGAGATTGTGGCCTGATACTCACCACTTTTAAGAAGTCTGGTTCCTATCACTCTTCTTCATGGATCACAGCCTTGAGCCAGGGTAGAAATCATCATGTTAGACTATGAGGAAATCAACTTGTGTGTCTTGTGAAATTATATTTCTAAGGACAAGTGGTTTTCTGAACAAATTTCTAACTGGAATTCATAACTCTAGGAAAAGTTAATAGTGAAGGGAATCACAGCCAGGTTTCCGTTAAGGGTTATTCATTCATTCCACAAACTGGACACTGGAGAATGAAGCAAATAAAGTGAAGGCCTCACCTTCAAGGGTGAATTATCTCATAAGAAAGACATATGTAAGCAGTTATAATCCAGAGTGACGAGTTATGATTATCTTCCATATTGAGTATAAGATTAGTCTGAGGTTTGAGAAAACAATGATATTTTACGTATATGTATTTTATGTATGTGTGTGTGTGTGTGTGTGTGTGTGTGTGTATATATATATATATAGAGAGAGAGAGAGAGAGAGAGAGAGTGTCTCGCTCAGTAGCCCAGGCTGGAGGGCAGTGGTGTGATCTTGGCTCACTGCAACCTCCACCTCCCGGGGTTCAAGCAATTGTCCTACCTCAGCTTCCAAAGTAGCTGGGACTACAGGCACGTGCCATCATGCCTAACTAAATTTTGTAGTTTTAATAGAGATGGGATTTCACCATGTTGGAACAGACTGGTCTTAAACTCCTGACCTCAAGTGATCCACCCACCTTGGCCTCCCAAAGTGCTGGGATTACAGGCGTGAGCCACCATATGTGGCCTAAATGTACATAAAATTACCTAATAAAATAAACCTTCAATATTCCATTGAGTTTACCCAATCCTTGTGATTTATCCTAGATTACCAAGATACCTACTTAAACTACAGAGCCTTTTACTAATTCAAAAGAACATGAGGTCTTCTATGGTTCTTCTGTTCTGTTGAAGCTTCTGGTAGGTCTTGCTCTTGTTTTTAGTTATTTACTCACGTGCAAAAACCTAATATACATGAAGGCATCTAAATAACCTATAGCAAAAAGTACTGTACACAAATATTTTCCACTCTCTTTGATGCGGAAGGATGAGAAGAAACATTCAAATGGATTTAAAGGCATATCTTCTCTGCAGAATAAGTAAGTATGCCCATCTCCATTGGGCTCCCCTGAGCTCATGATCCACAGCCTGGAAAGGCCAGCTAGTATCATGTGAAATGAATAGGCATCTCTTCCATATGTGCAACCTGCCACCAGTATTCTCTTTATAAGTCTCAGGACCAAAACTAAATGAGAATATTGCAATGACTTCATCCCGCCAATTACAGTATCTCCCTAGAGTGACTATTAGAGAATTACTGTATTATGTCTGCCCTGGAGACATTGGAAGGTCCTGATATAATTCAGTGATTTTACTTAACCCAGTAATTAGTTTACACAGTTTTATGAAGATTTTACTGCTTTAAAGATGACAGTTTTTCTTCTCAAAATTAGTTCTGATAGCCAGTCACTTCATTTTATGGTTTATGAGAGACTGGATATATTGGTTAAAAGATCTTCATTTAAGAATATGGAAAAACATCCCCTTTTACTAACTGAATATGGTTTGGTACAGTCTCCCTTTTTTGTTAATTTTCTTTTCTCTTTTTTTTTTTTTTTTGGCCCATATACCATGTGGGATTGTTTACAAGGCAAAGGAAAATGTAGTTTTTTTTTTTTTTTAAGTGTAGTCTAGATGTATAGCTGACTCTTATTAAGAATAATAGGAGTCTTGCATATAAAATGCAGGAAAGTGATTTAATAACTTCCAAGGCTTTGAAAACGTTACACACACACATCTGTAACAAGTGACAAAAACACCCTGGACCTGTTAATTCAGTGACTAAATTATTAGTTGTGCACCTTCTATGTTCCTCACACTGTCCTAGGCATTGAGGCACAGCAGGGAAAACAAAATAAATGTCCTTCCTTCTTGAAATGGGTGTTCTAGAGGAGGGAAGAAAACAATGAACAAAAATAAATAAATACAAATAGAGGAAAGAATGATGAAAGGATCAAGGAAAGCTGGGAGAGAGAGTACAATTGGGAAGAGATCTGAAACAGGTGAGGGAAGAAGCCGTGCAAAACATGGAGAGGAATGTTCCAGAAAGAGGGACTAGCTTGTGTGAAGGCCCTGCAGTGAAAAACTGCTGAAGAGCTCCAGGCAATGCGGTCCTAGCATGGTGAATAAATACCTAAGATTGCCTTGCAACCTGGTTTCATTGATTTATTGATATTAATAAATGAGAGTACCAAGCGGCTGGTCCCAGGGAACTCCTGCATCATTTCAGCTACATATATGAGCGTGTGTAAAATTTCTCAGACACAGCAATGAAAAAGACACCGATAGGAAAAATGGCCGGGCCCGGTGGCTTCCACCTGTAATCCCAGCACTTCGGACAGCCAAGGCAGAAGGATCACTTGAACTGAGAAGTTTGAAACCATCCTGGGCAACATGGCAACCTGTCTCCACTAAAAATACAAAAATTAGCCAGGCATGGCGGGGTGTTCCTACAGTCCCAGCTACTCAGGAAGCTGAAGTGAGAGGATCATCTGAACCCAGTAGGTGAAGATTGCAGTGAGCCCAGATCCTGCCACTGCACTCCAGCTCAGGTGACAGAGCAGGACCTTGTCTCAAAACAGTAAATAAATAAATAGCATATTTTTACATGGTTCCTTATGTACACAAGTGTAGCTACTTTACCTCATCTTTTTTTTTTTTTGGTCTGGATTCTCCATCTTCTTCCGTTGGCTATTCTTCCACCAAGACAAAAAAGTAGCAGAACTGAAAGGATACTGCTTTGGCTTGTTGATACCCACTTCTGACTCTGGGATTAAACTGAGTTTGCTTACTAAGAACCCTTCCTGACCATCAAGCAATGCAGTTCCAGGATCAGAGGTCATCCTCTTCCAATCTTTGACTTCCACCCGGAGTTGTAGATAACCCTTCAGGAAAACATGTGGTGAAAGTAGTTTTGCTCTGTGAGCCAACAGAAAATTGGCCCTTGAGATGACTTTTAACGGGATTTTGTAAGCCATGAGCAGAACAGCACGGGTTCCAACCAGGCATGGAATTCAGAGTTGTAATAGAAAACATTTATTTGGCTTCAGCTAAACATCCTAACACATGTTAGCATTTGCTGCCAATATGCTTCCTAATTAAGAACAACATAAAATCATAGGAAATCCTGCATCCTGTCTTCATGCACTTCTCATGTATCTTTAGTGCCCTGGCCTTCTTTCTCAAGCACATACACACTCACACACAATACAGGTTGATTCAAAAGTCCTGTTTGGCCAACCATGAACTGTACTGTCATTAACAAGATTAATGTACATTCCAGAAGGTACCACCAAGCGTTTTTTCTTCCTTCTTAAACAAATGCTGCTATTAAAAACTAATTTTTAAAACGCTACTAAGGCATCCCCCAAATAAAGGACCAGCAACATTTCATTGGTAATGTATTATCTGTAACTGATGTGAAACTTCAAAGAATATATGTGTGTGTGTAGAAGATATATATATATATCTTCTCTCTAGGATTGCCTAAACTATTGGCCATGTTTGGATGAACAGATTCAACATGATAAAATATACAAACATGACCAACAGTCCTCCTTTAAGATGAAGGACAGACTAGGATCCGGTTTTCCTCTTAGTTCCCCTCCTTAAATCCATGCTAATTTCATCTGAAAATATTTAAAGATATACCTGTGAGTGCTGAATTATCACCCCCTCATGACTAACAAATGAACATTACATGATTACTGCACAGGTGAAAATGTATTTGCTACTTCTGATTATGGCTAGAATTGTACGAGTTAATCTTAGAATCCCCTGATTTCTCAGTGATCCTACATAGCCAAACTAATTGCTTCTATTCCCCACCATCAGGCAGAAATTATTAAAAAAAAAAAAAAAAAAAAAAAAAAAAACAGAGGGAAACCAATCACTCAGGCACATTGTATGTTAAG